TACTGAGAGTCAACAGCTCAGGGGCCACAGGCACAGAGCTAACAGTTCAGGGGCCACAGGTACTGAGATCCAACAGTTCAGGGGCCACAGGTACTGAGAGTCAACAGCTCAGGGGCCACAGGCACAGAGCTAACAGCTCAGGGGCCACAGGTACTGAGAGTTAACAGCTCAGGGGCCACAAGTACTGAGAGTCAACAGTTCAGGGGCCACAAGTGCTGAGAACTAACAGCTCAGGGGCCACAGGTACTGAGAACTAACAGCTCAGGGGCCACAGGTACTGAGAGTTAACAGCTCAGGGGCCACAAGTACTGAGAGTCAACAGTTCAGGGGCCACAAGTGCTGAGAACTAACAGCTCAGGGGCCACAGGTACTGAGAGTTAACAGCTCATACAATGTAAGGACATAGAACATAAAATTAGTCTTTATGCAGATGATGTTTTACTTTTTTCTCAGCACTCAGAAAACTCCTTATCTAAGGTTATTGAATTAATAAGCTTTTTCAAAAGTTTCTGACTATTATATAAATTGGTTAAAATCTACAGTTCTTCCAATTAAATGGGTTTTTAACAATTGTCTTAATACATGGCTGCAGACAGGTAACATTAAATATTTGGGTATTAATACTTCTCCTAGATTGGAAGACTTAATTAAATTAAATCCCATCCAACTTTAAAAAAAATAGAAGATGATCTTACAGATGGAAATCTCTACCCATATCACTTATAGGAAGAGTTGCTTCAATTAAAATGATRGTGWTGYCAAGAATAAATTATTTATTCTSAATGATACCAAATAAACAGTCACCTGTCTGGTTTAAATCCCTGGACTCTTTCAYCTYTAAATTMATTTGGATAGATAAAACTCCACTTATTAGTCTAAAAACATTACAGAAAACTAAGGATACAGGAGGGCTGGAGCTTCCTAACTTTTACCAATACTTTTTGGCCAACCGGCTACAATACATCTTAAAGTGGTTAAGTCCTAATCCGTTAGATGAAACTTGGCTAGATGTAGAACAAACGTTATGCCATGACATTAAGATTTCAGATCTTCCATTTATTAGCACTAACATATAAAAGCACGAGTGCTTAAAAGCATAAATATCAGCTCATCTCTGGCAGCATGGTGGGAGTTTCTTAACATGACAAAGTCTTCATTAATCTCTTGCAGACAAACACCCATCTGGAACAATCCTGACATATTACAACAGAATAATATGTTAAGATTTCAGATTGGAAGGGTAAAGAAATTGATCGTTTGGAACATATATATGAAGGTGCAGACTTTATTCCATTTAACAAATCAACAACACAATATGGCATCGATAAGAAATATTTCTTAGAATTGAACAAATTAAGTCTATAATAAAAAAGAAATGTAAGCTTAATAAAACGTTAGAAACACCAGTAAGTGTATTGGAGTTCCTTCACCTTAAATCACCTAAATTGCTATCCAAAATACAGTATATAAGAAATTGTCTAGAGTAGATGATTCAATTCAATTCAGTTCAAAAAAATACTTTATTKTTCCAAGAGGGAAATTAAGTTTATTATTAAACAAATTAGATTCAATATCATTACCAATTGTAAAATGGGAGACGGATTTATCAGTCAACTTTGACCAAAACACCTGATCCCAAATATGCTTAAAAACATTTAAAATGACCAGAAATCCTAATTTACAACTAATACAATATAAAATCCTCCACAGAGTATATTATRCAGGTCAGCGAATGTTCAAGATGGGATGTGTGTCATCTAACACCTGCTCACAGTGCACAGACAATAYACCTGACAAAATGAAGTGTTAAATGTGCAGTGTTAACTTTTCAGAGTTAATTTCAGCTCCCCGAGTGTTGTTTCAACACTTTCTGAGTGAACTGACGTCCAGTGTTGGTGTTAACTCACAGAGTTGATCTCATCAGTGTTGTCTCAACTCTGGACAGTGTTWAATAAGCTCCGCCCACTGTTAAGTCTTGATTAACACTTAACAGTGTCGTTATTTGACACACTGCAGTGTTGAAAGAAGTATTCTGAAAAGCCCCGCCCTCTTCCTCATGGACCAGAATTTTCTCAGCAAGGAATGCTGGGTAATCYTGTWGAAATKATGTGTTTACATGTCWAAGACTGTTAAAAATGTTCATTAGTGTAAAAATGTGTTTTTCTGGTCAGTTTTCTTGTTCAGGTTGGTTWGTTTTTCAAGTTTAATTTTTTGTTATTTGCCATAAGTCAACACCATGAGTGAGAGGTACTTCCTGATGTGTGAAGGGTCAGTCTGTTGTGCTRTTTTACCAACARATGACCAGTGTTAACACAACACTACTATCACTTATTAGATCCCATTAGTCTTCAGACAGCCTCTGCAGATACATCAGATCAATATAGGCTCCTTTAATCAGCTTCATCACATAGTGAGGGCGGGGGTCCTTGGAGCGGGCCTTGTGGGGCTTTGGGGCTGGGACAGGGGCGGGGGGGTGCTCCTGGGTGGGGGGACCATACTCTCACCCCGAGGAGCGCATTGGGTGTTTTGGGCAGGGGGGCTTCTGGTGGATGCATGCTGATAAAAATAAATAAATACAAATTAAAAATTAAAAAAGATAGTTCAGGGGCCACAGGTACTCAGAGTTAACTCCTAAAATAGCTAGCCTTTTGCTACGTTGAGCTAATTCTTTGCTATTTAACATTTAGCTAACATTTGGTTAACATTTAGCTAACAGTTTGCTGTTTAGGAATATCTTGGGCAGATTTCAGACATGTTCTGTGAAAAAGCTGAGTCAGCGTTTAGCTGGTCTTTTCTTTAGATTCAGTGCTTGTTTCCTTCAGGTGGGACACTGCAGACTTTAAACACTTCGGCTGTTTTCATAGCAAACGTTCAGCTGTGCGATGAATCGTCTGAAGAAGTCGTACCTTCTGAGTAATGTGAGAGTGTCAGCAGACTGACGCAGGACGCTCCGGCACCAGAACCAAATATGGTGACTCTCTTCGGGTCTCCTTTAAAGGCCTGGATGTTCTCTTTGATCCACCTGAGAGCCTGGATCTGATCCAGGAGACCGTAGTTGCCCTTGGCTGCCTGGTCTCCAGTACTCAGGAAACCTGCAGTGAAAACAAAGAAACAGTTTTACCACAGCTGAACATAATTTATGTTGTTTGAAGCAGCGACTCCTCWGATTGTATCAGAGTTTATTACGAACGAGACCTCAGGTAAGACACAAACATGTCAACAACAACAGAGCAAAGTGTAAACAGGAAGTCCGTTGTGTTACTGAACCTGCAGCTCTGCTCTAAACGTCTCACCTGGTCTAAGGCTGAGTCCGGTCATCAGCTCATTTCAGCTGCTCAGGTCAGATCTGGTCCTTTCACTTGGACCTGATGACCACCGGTCAGGGTTGTACCAGTAAAACCAGTGCTACCCTTCCAGCTTATCTCCAGGCCTTTGTTTGGTGATCTAGCTCTCTCCATGTCCTGCCWCTCATGAACAAAAGTCCTAATGTGAACTCTTCAGCTTGCAGCAGAAACGTAACTTCTTTTTCATATATTGTTTCTGTATTTGCATCTGTCCTTTTGTTTTTTTGTGTCTTGACTGAACTGTGAAGCACTTTAGTCAGTTTTTGTTGTTAATGTKCTGTACAAATAAATTTGACATCGACATTAAACGACACTGTAACCACAGCTGCTCTGGGGCTGCCCTACTGTGCCACTGAACCGTCGGACCACCATCAATGGGTAAGGTGGGGGAAGTGTCTTGCCCAAGGATGCCCAGGACAGCTGGAACAAGGAATTGAACTGGCAACCCACCAGTTACAAGACGACAGCTAACCACTCTTCCACAGCCGGCCCACAGTAGGAGTCTGAAAACCATAAAAGGCTGACCTTGGTCAGAACGTTGGCTAAAGCCATCTGGTGAACAGGATACAGAAACAGCTTCTGGTTTGGTTTAAGACCGYCATCACCAAGTTCTCCTGAAGTACCCCTCACTGACTGCTTTGTGTGACCCAGATGAAAACCACACTGCTCCTCYACAATCAGTCAGAACCTCCCTGAAACACCTGGAGAAAACCTTTCTGGGAAAACCTCATTATTTGGAACCCACGAGACGTGTCAACCATGACAGWCCCACAACGTCCAGAACCTTCATCTAGGACAAACCTCCACTCTGTGTATTGTTATACTGCTAATGGTAAAACCTTGAACCTTCATCTGGGAACAAACCTCCACTTCGTGTATCGTTATACTGCTAATGGTAAAACCCTGAACCTTCATCTAGGACAAACGTCCACTCTGTGTATCGTTATACTGCTAATGGTAAAACCCTGAACCTTCATCTGAGGACAAACGTCCACTTCGTATATCGTTATACTGCTAATGCTAAAACCCTGAACCTTCATCTGGGGACAAACCTCCACTCTGTGTATCGTTATACTGCTAATGGTAAAACCCTGAACCTTCATCTGGGGACAAACATCCACTTCCTGTATCGTTATACTGCTAATGGTAAAACCTTGAACCTTCATCTAGGGACAAACATCCACTTCCTGTATCGTTATACTGCTAATGCTAAAACCCTGAACCTTCATCTAGGGACAAACATCCACTTCCTGTATCGTTATACTGNGTATTTCCTTCTGGCTCCTGATGAAGCTTATCATCCAAACTGACCAGCCTGGCAGCGAAAACGCCACGTTCTAAAACTTGTTCACAAATTAGCGAGTGCTCCTAAACCAATTAACAGCTCCTAAACTGTGCCACTGAGCCTCTTGTGCCTGTTTGCCAAGTCTGGCAGCCAGCAGCTGCCAGCTCCGACCGAGGAAACAAAAATGACAAATCGGTCTTGGTTAGAAAGGAGAAAGTGTAACCTGTTGCTCTTTGACTCAGACTCAATCTGGTTTGTCTTATTTTGGTGGAGGGGATGATGGGAACAGGATGAAGACCTGGTTCCAAAGCAAACGGTGTTTTCACAGAGCCTGTAGGATGGCCACAGGCCCTGGCACTGCTTCCTCATTTCTACCAGCCAACAACCCCCTCCTCTCAGTCGCTCATTCCCTTTCCCCTCACATCCCTCACCTCAAACAATCCAAAGAGAGAAGCTTGCCTGCGAGGCACTTCTCAGGAGGTGTTAGCGTTCGTCAGGATTCATTTCAAAGCACCACATCCCTGAAATAGACTGAAGACGTAGCAGTCTGCAGCTTAAAGAAACATCACAGGCAGCTGCTTCGTATAACATGTGTGGAAAACAAAGACGTGTACATGAAAAACACTCTGAAGAAATACACAAGCAGGGCTTTGTACTGGTTTATATGAAGGTGTGGTGTTAATAATCCAACATGTTGGGACTGATCACAGAAATAAAACAATTTTTATCTTATGTGAAACAACTGCCAACAGAAACTATATTCATACAAATATATATAGAAATAAATATATACACAGAAAC